AAGGAATATTCCTTAAACCATATTAGGGGTCCTATTATAACTTACCAAGTAGGGAATATTCCTTATATCAAATTCGGGGTCCTAGTATAATCTAAGGTATATATTCCTTAAATTAAGGCGTTTTGGAGTCTCTACCCGTAGGCCCCTAACTAACTAGTTCCTTTTTGTGGTTCATATTTAGAATCCTATAAGGTATTCCCAAAAGGGAACTACTTAGGGGCCCATGGGTAAAGCCCTAAAGCCCTAAACCCCCTCAAAAAAAGGCCTGAACCCTACAGATCCTTTATATAGAACCCCCTTTTAGGAGCCCGTGGATCCGAAGTATAAACCACAAAAAGGAACTACTTTGGAGCCTATGGGTAGGGGTTCGGGTTTCAGGGTTTAGTGTCTGGGGTTTTAGGGTTTAGGGTTCAGGGATTCGGGTTTGGGGCTTAGGGCTTCAAGGTTTAGTGTTTGGGGTTTTAGGGTTGGCATTGGCTTGGATCTCTCTTACCGCACGCTGGGTCTTCAGCTGGGGCGGGAGAGCTGCCCAGAGAGTCCAATACCCCTTTTAGGGTTTAGGGTTTTAGGGTTAGGAATTAGGGTTTAGGGTTTAGGAATTAGGGTTTAGGGTTTTAGGGTTACGAATTAGGGTTTAGGGTTTAGGAATTAGGGTTTAGGGTTTAGGGTTCTCTAAATTAAGGGTTAAAGGAATAGTACCTTAAATCATAATATTAAGGCACCTATAATTTAAGGTATATTCCTTAAGTAAGGGGTATTGGGTTCTCTGGCTTCATCTGCTGAATGCCGAGGGCGCGTTCACCTTCCGTTCCTGCTATAATTGGCGTGCTTGCTCATGAGGATCATGGGGCTTAGTGAAGTAAGGTTATGAAATTATAAGTAAGGTAGCTATATATTTATGGTTATTTCTAACTCCAATTCATGGCATTGTGAGGTTCCGGGATGCGCATTCTCGCATGTCGGCACCCGTGCTGAAGTGGCCACGGCAAGGTACGGTCACGACCGACGTGCCCATGGGCCGAGCACCGGTGGCACCAACGCAAGATGACCCGTTGGCCTGGACATATCCTTTCTGCGATCAGGGCTTCCGCGCAACCCAGTGCTTGAGTGTGGGCCAGTTCATCCGTTCTCGCAGCATCTGCATGCATCGTGTCTCCCTTGCAATCTTCCTCAGGGTAGGCACCGTTAACGTTGGCAAGGGTGGTGGGATCCCTATTCCCATACTTGACTACATGACTAGACTGACTCGACATGCCATTGATACACTCTGTCTGAGGAGGTTGGGTTGACTTGAACCCTCTCCAGCGTGTTGTCTTTCCAGTCGCTCTGGCAGCGGCTTGGTTTCTACTGTTGCGTGCCGCCGACTCAGGGCGCTTTTTTCTCGCTCGGCCAATGTCTCTGCTCACCATTTCTCTCTGTGCCGAAGCTGCACGCAGTGGGCTGGTTTCCTTGAGTTCCAGTCCGGCTCTGCTGTTCGCAAAGTCGCGCTCGTTTCCTTACATGGGTACTCGGGGGATAGTAGTCCGAGTATACGAATTCTGCTTTGACCGGCGTCCTCGGGGACCTCGCGGCAACCGGTCTTGACTTCGTTGTCCTTGTTGACTTTCAATACCAGGTTCTTGACCACTTCGTTGCCCAAGCTCTTGTTGGCGGCGCTTGTCATGCTGTGGACGATTGCCGTGCGGCTCCTGCGCCTCCTACTAAACCCCAAACCCTAAACCCTAAACCCTAAACCATAACCCTAAACCCTAAACCCTAAACCCTAACCCTAAACCATAAACCCTAAACCGTCATTGATGATGGTCCCTGCTCTTCTGATGCAAATTCCCAGCCAGGGTTCCACACTTGGAGGTGGCTGACGACCTGAGGGTTTTTGGAGTTTTGGGTTTAGGGGTTTTGGGGTTTTAGGAAGCATTTAGGGATTTAAGGTTTTGGGGTTTTAGGAGGTATTTAGGGATTCAGGGTTTTGGGGTTTTAGGAGATACTGTTGTCACTGTCCCCCGACAGTGGCCCCGTGCATATGCTTCTACTTCTGCTGAAGTGTCTGCGGCTTGCCCTCTTCCTTCCTTTGCCGCGCAACCCTAAACCCTAAACCCTAAACTCTACGAAGCGGGTGGAGGTATTTCTTCGGAAGTGTCTGCGTTTGTTCAGGGTTTCCGGGCATCAGGGCTTGTCTGATACCGATGAAATTGAAGACCTTTGGGAGTCTCGTGCAGTCCATGATACCGGTGCCCTTCAGAGATTCAAACTTCAACTGGGGTTTGCCAGCCCTAAACCCTAAACCCCTAAATCCCAAACCCGTAAACCCTAAGCCATAAACCCCTAAATCCCAAACCCTTAAACCCTAAGCCATAAACCCCTAAATCCCAAACCCTTAAACCCTAAACCACAAACCCCTAAACCCTAAACCCTTAAAACCCTAAACCCTAAACCCCAAACCCTGAACCCCTAACCCCAATCAAGTAGTTCCGGGGCTTGCCGAACTCCAGGACATGGCCGTCGAACTGGCGAACCGGGGTTTGACCGCTGTGCTCCTTGCTCCAATCGCAGTGCTGTTACTTTGCGACCTGCATGCTAGCATCTTGGTGTCGTCCGACTCGGTCTAGATGTGTGGGCTTGTATGACATTGCGACATGCAATCCTGGGATAAGTAAGTGTGGACATATGAGTTAGCCTCGGTCGGTGTCGGCCGAGACCCTTTCCGTCAGCCAGGGATTCGGGAAATCCGACGGGCGGCCAAGGCAATTGCTTACCGGCTGTTGTTTTCTTTGGGGGTTCCAATGTGGCTATGTGCGGCTATGACCATCGCTTCTGCCATCCAGCTTCGAAAGGCACCCTCATCCCGCTGTAGTCTTATAATCGCACGGTGACAGGGAAGCATGGCGGACTCGAAAGTGAAGGACATGGGCCTGGCCGAGTTCGGCCGTAAGGAGCTCACTCTGGCCGAGCATGAGATGCCTGGCCTCATGGCGGCACGCAAGGAGTTCGGCCCTTCGCAGCCTTTCAAGGGCATGAACATCAACGGCTCCCTGCACATGACCATCCAGACCGGCGTTCTGATCGAGACGCTGGCTGCCCTGGGTGCCAAGGTACGTTGGTGCTCGTGCAACATCTTCAGCACGCAGGACCACGCGGCAGCTGCCATCGCGAAAGCAGGCACTTCCACGGTCTTCGCGTGGAAGGGCGAGACGCTGCCGGAGTACTGGTGGTGCACCGAGCAGATGATGACCGTGCCGGGAGCTGATGGCTGCGACCAGCTGGTGGACGATGGCGGCGATGCCACTCTGCTGATCCACAAGGGCAAGGAGTTCGAGGAGAAGTTCGCCAAGGACGGCAGCCTGCCAGATCCTTCCAGCACTACCAACGCCGAGTTCAAGTGCATCTTGCAGCTGCTCAGGGACTCGATCCAGGTGGACAAGACCAAGTACACCCGCATGGCAGCCAAGTGCAAGGGTGTCAGCGAGGAGATGTTGCGGGTCTTGGGAGTCTTAGGTACTGGGTGTCAGGATTTCGGAGCGGTTTCTGAAAGCGCGGAGGTTTCGGGGCTTCCGGGCTCTCCAAAATCGTGGGCTGTTGACTCTGGGCGGCATGGTGCCACCATGTGCCACCACAGGAGACCACCACCGGTGTGCACCGTCTGCGCGAAATGGCGGCCAAGGACGAGCTGCTCTTCCCGGCCATCAACGTCAACGACCGCCGATTCTTTTGTTTTCTTTTTCTTGTGGTTCTTGTGTTTACGGAAAACCGTGTTTCCAGAAATACTCTTCTGCCCGGAAAGCAACAGCAGCAGGACTGCGTTACCAAGAGCAAGTTCGACAACGTGTATGGCTGCCGCCACTCTCTGCCGGACAGCATCATGCGCGCCACGGACGTGATGATCGGCGGCAAGCGTGCCCTCGTGGCCGGCTACGGCGATGTGGGCAAGGGCTGCGCCTTCGCCATGCGTGGAGCCGGCGCACGGGTGCTGATCACGGAGATCGACCCCATCTGCGCACTGCAGGCGTGCATGGAGGGCTTCCAGGTCGTGACCCTTGAGGAGTGCGTGGGTGAGGTGGACATCTTCACCTCCGCCACTGGCAACTTCAAGATCATCACCCTGGAGCCTGCACCACTTGTCCCAACCCCTACGCAAGTGTCATGTCAAGTGTCATGCTGTCGCAGGTTCATAGTCCTGTACTAGCATTTTGGTAGACTAGTGCAAGCCATCTAGTCGCGAGGAGCACATGAAGAAGATGAAGAACAACGCCATCGTGTGCAACATTGGCCACTTCGACAACGAGATCGCCATGGAGGATCTGGAGAAGTGCCCTGGCGTCAAGGTGGAGAACATCAAGCCGCAGGTGGATCGCTTCGTCTTCCCGGATGGCCACGGCGTCATCGTGCTGGCCTCCGGCCGCCTTGTGAACCTTGGCTGTGCCACCGGCCACCCCTCCTTCGTGATGTCTTGCTCTTTCACCAACCAGGTGCTGGCCCAGCTGGACATCCTGGAGAACTGCACCAAGGCTAAGAACTACAAGAACGATGTGTACCTGCTGCCCAAGAAGCTGGATGAGAAGGTGGCCGCACTCCACCTGCCTTCGCTGGGCGCCAGCATGACGAAGCTGAGCAAAGAGCAGGCCGACTACATCGGCGTGCCTGTTGAGGGCCCTTTCAAGCCGGACACGTACCGCTACTAAGTGGCGGGTTTTGCCAATTTTGCGCTGCCGTGTGTTGTCCCTAGCCCCCGGCGCCATGACAGGCGTCCTGCCTGAAAGTGGATCCCGAGGGCGACAGGATGAGTCCACAGCTAGCACATTCCAAGCCTGGGCAGAAGAGCAGTGATCTGCTGAGTGAAAAAGGCGAGCTGTCGTTGGCTGTTTCAGGATGTGTCTGGACGTTTGGCCACAGTCGTTGAAAGTATCGGATCATCAACTGACAATAGTCTTGCTGCTGGGAGTGTGCTTTGTCGTTCTTGCCCTCTTTGCCCCTCAACAGTACAAGAGAACGGCCTTGTAGCAAGATGCATTAGACTAATCTTAGCCAGGATTACGGGAGCTCGGGTTCTCCGTCGGAAGCGTGAGCGTAGCAGCTGGCCGGCACAGTGGAAGGCCTTCCAACAGTCTCCTTGCAGAAAGTTCTCTTCCCTAAGCCCTAAACCGTAAACCCTAAACCCGAAACCCTGAAACCCTAAACCCTACAAAGCCCAAGGGTGATGAACCGTCGCGGCTACGGCGGCTTAAAGTTGGAGGTCGACACAGCCCGGATGACTCTCTACGGAATTGACGAGGATGAGGGCGTGTAGGCTTGGGGTTTAGGGCTTAGGGTTTACGGCTTAGGGTTTAGGGCGTAGGGTTCAGGGTTTAGGGTTTGGGGTTTAGAGTTCAGCGTTTAAGGGTTTGGGGTTTAGGGCTGAGGGCTTAGGGGTTTAGGGTTGAGGCCTGCGGGTTTTGTTTCGGGTCCCAAGTATTGGCACGAAGTTTGCCGGGATCCAAGCAGCCCTACGGTATGGTCCGTTGCAACCACTAGCAGGTGAGGCAAATGAAGCTAGCTTTGCTGTCTTAGTCAATTTTCGAATTTAATTCGCTCAGCCTTCAGTTGCGGACTTCGCGCCGCTCTAAGATTCGGATCGACTGAAGCAAAGAATCCCCAAACCCTTTCCTTCAACTCCCGATCAGCTCGACTGCTTTCTTGGTGCAGCGCCCCTGTTCGCTCCATCAGATTCCCCCTAAACCCTGAACCCTAAGCCCTGAAACCGAAAGGCTCACAAAGGCCCAGAGCCCGTGAAGTAAACCCCTAAGCCCTAAAAGGCTGAAATTAAATCCGAAAGCTCAAGCCCCCCAGTGCTCGCAACACAAAACGCGAAAAGCCTAAGCCCTACCCTAAACTACAAAAAACCTGCGTTTTTGTAGGTTCTGTATTCGAAGCCCCAATGTGGAACTCATAGGGACCCTACAACAATAGGAGGGGTTTTGGTGGGTTAAGGTATGGGCGCAACTCCCCAAATAGCTTGCGCACTTGGAGGATCATGCGACTTAAAAACTAGGCTTAAAACATAAGATAACTATGTACATACTTATAAGTCAGCATAATCCCAGCTTAGGTACTTGTAACCTTACTTACTAAGTCCCATGATCCTCCAAGTAGGCCCTAAACCCTAAGCCCCAATTATTCTAGAGCCCTTTATAGAACCCTTTACGGAGCCCTTTAAGGGCGCCTTTAAGTTACTGAGTCCCATGATCCTCGAGGTAGTATAGGCCATAAAACCCTAAACCCCTAAACTCCTACCCTAAACCCTAAACCCTAAACCCCCAAAACCCCCAAACCCAAAGTTCCTAAGTCCCATGGTCCTCCAAGCAGGACCTGGATGAGGTTCTCTTGGAGGTCGGTCGCCGTTACCCCAAGCGCTCGGTGGCGCTTGTGGGTTTCTCCTGCGGCTCCTGCAGCTTTGCGTGATTGAGGGGGGTGGGAGACGCCGGACACTGATACTAAAGGAACCCTTAAAGGACCCATCCAAGAACACGAAGGAGGCCCTCCACAGAGACAAGCTCTCCGGGTTCCTGGAGTCCAGGAGCCATAGGCCCTAAGGCCTAAGCCCCAAACACTACTAAAAGCCTGGAGCGCGCTGTCGATGGTTTAGGGTTTAGGAAGCAAGCGGTGGAGTCTGGCCCAAAGCCTCAATCCGTACATGCCCCAAGCATCCCCAAGGGCATCTGCATGCCGCATGCATGACCACACGGACACTTGAAAGGCATCATGTCGCAGCCAATTCAGAAGCTGAGACCTTGCACTTACAGATTTGTTCTCATCGTCATCGTCATCAGCATCGCTATCACTATCATCGTCATCACCATCATCATCACCATCATCATCACCATCATCATCATCATCATTATAAGCATCATCTTTATCTTCATCAATATGTGCAATATGAATATGAGTATTCATTTGAAAGTTAGTATGCATTCGAGTATTCATATTTTTGACATTCTCATTGCTGTTGCTGTTGCCGTTACTGTTGCCGTTGTGGTTGTGTGGTTGTGTGGTTGTGGTTGTGGTTGTTGTTGTTGTTGTCGTCATTATTACCATTGATATGGACATTGTTATTGTTATTGTTATTCGTATTAGTATGTCTATGTCTCTTTCTATTTCTAGTGCCCTTCCTCTTCCTACTCCGATTACTGTTTTTGTTGCTGAGAATTTTACTGTTACTAGTCATTATTCTTTGCAGTAGTGCTATTGTTCTTGTTAGTATATCATTATTATCATTTTCATTAGTTAGCACTAGTTATTAATAGTATCATTGTCACTATCATGAGTATCATCATCATGTTCATTACTTTTGTTAACACATGCAGAGCCTTGAGGTTTTGCAGTGCGATACGCAGTTCTCCGCGCTCACCTATCTGCGTGGGCACAGGACTGGGAGTGCCAAGTTTGTTGTTGCAAAGGTGTTGCGAGAACCAAGGTTTCGGAGCCGAGGGGAGTTCAGGCTGGTTTACGATTTAAGGTTTAGGGTTAGGGTTAAGGTTTATGGTTCAGGGGGTTTAGGGTTTCGGGGGTTCTAGGGCTCGCGCCTGACTTCACCAACCCCGTCTTCACCCTAAAGCCCTAGCCTTTAACCCAAAATTCCCGAAGCACTGAAAGCTCTGACTGAAGTTCTGGTTTAGGGCTTAGGGTTTAGGAACGCAATCTGACAGGATGCTGAGTGTGGATTGTCCAAGACAATTCCGCGGCTCCTCTGCGTGGTGCGCCCCCCCACACGACGGTTCTTGCAAGTAATGGCTGATAGCGTCAGGGGCCAAATAGCTACTAGTCTGATCGCTACAGTTCAGGAGAATTGATCGAGTCGTGGTGCTTCTGGTAGTTGTACTAAGCAGCACGTTTTCCGATGCCAGATCCATTAGCATCATAAACCCAAAACGTAGTTTGCCAGGTCAGCTACGACAACGGCTACTGCGTAGACAAGGCTCCCGCTAGAGTGCCGAGGCCATACTGTTGGGTGGGGCGCCCCAGGCTACGAGCTTCGGGTGTGGGAGCTTAAAACGCGGAGGCTCTGGTTTCGTTTCTGAGTTTGGTACTTTTTCGATTATGTCTCGCACTTATCGAGATCTTAAAGAAGTGGATGCTTCGCTAACCTTCGAAGAGGAATGGAGCAGACGTAGGCAAAGGGAGTGTCCTTAAGAATCAGTGCATCCCGGCCTCTTGTTTCCTTCGCTCTGTTAGCAATACCCATCCCGTGCATATCTCTTTCGAATCAGAATGGTTTGCCCCCTCGTCTCTTTCTAAATTTGGGTCTCATGCTTTTCCTCTTCGAATCAGCAAAACGGAGAAGGGCGCCACGAAACCCGAAATCCCCTGAACCCTAAACTGCCCTAAACGTCGTCATCGTTCTTTTCAAGAAGCGCCGGCAAGAAAAGGAACGAGGGCAGCCAAGTCGCCATCTCCAATATTGGTCTGTCTTGCTTTCTCATTCAAAAGAAAAAGTAACCAGAACAAAGAAGACACATAGAAGAGCTAAAGGTGAGCTCTTCTGACTTCCTGCTCTTTCTGTTCAGAAGCTAGGGGAAGGTGGACTGGCCATCCTCCGCAGCTGAGCTCTTTCCCTAAGGAGCCCTCTCTCTTCTGTTGCTTTGCCTCTGACTTTTATTTCGTCTCCCAGCCCGAGAAAGATCTGGACGTTGAGACAAGCAGTGCCCGAGACTTTTACGAGTTGTTTTAGAAGCTGCGAGCGCAAGCGAGGAGGAAAGAAGGACAGAGGGGAGGTGACGGGAGGGAGAGCGAGGAACTTCTTCCCTCTTTGTTCTTTTCTACTGACTCGTTGGTGTTCTCAGAAGTTTGGAACGGTGGGAGAGCCACACTGTTGCGCGGAGGTTGCTCTGACTATATTACTGTGCTGTGTTTCTCTAAGGCCTTGGACCTAGCATTTCGTGGTGAGCTCAGCTTTTGTTGTGGAGCCATTGGGAACAAGGATTTGAGGCTGTTTCACGCATGGGGAGCTCTCTAGATTAGGATCCCCTTTCAGGTCCCCAAACTAGTACGGCACCCTTATAGAAAGGGAGCCTAACCGGGACCCTCATTTAGAGAACTACGTACATGAGAAGCTGAGCATATCTGCAAAACCTGGCCTGAGCCCATCGAAGCAGCGCGGAGGGTGGTCTGTTGCGTTTCCGCTGCCAGGCTTCCATAGTCTAGCGTGACTAGGTTCCTCAGTAGTATCCTTCTGGCCTGTTTATTGTAGGGTTCCCTTATGAAAACTATAGATAGTAGGAACAGGGTGTCCTTATTATTTAGGGGCTACTGGGGAACCTAGATTATGATAAAGCCCTGACCTCCAAGGATATCAGTACGTCTTCCGGCACTATGCCACATGGTTGCAGAAGTCACGCTCCTGCGCACAGGTCGTCGAGGCCTGCTGCTTCCTATCCTGCAAGAGGAAAGTATGAGTATAGAACATCCATGCTAACCCCAAGGTCAGAAAGAAGGCCAGTAGAAATATCCACACGTCGTCATGGCACTACGGATACTTCTCCGCAACGTGGTCTCCGCCGAGCCAGACTGCAGGGGTTCTATGCCCCGCTTTGATGGGACGCCTCCCCCCGCCCCCCTCGCAACGTGAGGGGAGGGGAAGGTCTGCTCGTGTTTCAACAGATGTCTAAGAGCCCATGCGATGCATTTGGCAGCAAGACCTCCCCCATGC